GGGTACGCGCCCGCCTGACAGTTTGAGATAACGCCGCCGCGGCCGAGTCTCCACGAAAACAAAATCTCCGCAAACCGGCAAACATATAATAAACACACATGAGCCACGCTCCGCCACGCCACGCCACGCCACGCCACGCTCCGCCACGCCACGCTCCGCCACGCCACGAGCAGAGCTCTACACACTCCTGCGGCTGGGGTCGGCCGGGAGGCGGCGCCAACTCATGTTTATCGCATATGTTTTCGATGCGTCTCCTTCGCCGGCCGAGGGAACCAGCTGACTCGGAGCTTGGTGGGGGTCCCCCACTTTGGGGGAGCTTGCACCCCTTTGTCGGCCTCCCGTGGCGTCCCCTGGCGACAGCAGGTCCGCGGACTCCCGGACGCGAACCCGCCTCATTTAGTGCGGCCTCGTCAAGACGCGGCACTGTGTCACACTTTAGTTGCAAAGTATGTGCCGGGGCGCTGATTGGCGCTAATCGCAAAGTATGTATTCCACGGCAGAGAGCCCACGTGGCTGAACTACTGTACGGCGTCGACGAGCAGTCAGTCTCCTGGCAGTCTGTGCGGGCCGGGGGGCGCCCTACTACTCACACTCGGTGCCGGCACAGGTGCGTCACGTGCTCGCACGGTGCGCCACACCGCGCCTCGGCCCGCTCCGCCCCCGCCCGCCACCACCGCAGCCGCCCCGCGCCGCCCCCCGCCGCGCCGGCTGCGCGGTCGCTAGGTCAGGCCGACGACGGCGGCCGTCGCTCGGCTCTCCGCGCCCGCCGCACTGACAAATCAGCTGATTGCCATTTTCCCGGCAACAAACAACAATAGGCTAACCGTGGCGGCGGCCCCTGCTAGCTCCTCTATGGGGATCGACATTATACACGCCGGATTTCTGTTTGTTATCGCTGCCCCGAAATCAAACGTTGTCGAGTCAAGCGCTGCGTGGTCGTCCCTCGGGCATTCGTTTCGACACCAGTCCAACGTCACAGGGCCGACGAAATAACAGGGGCCACGCGCGTAAAACAAAAACCAGCGGTTTTCGGTCGAATACACGAGATGCGACTCGTGCGGACCCTCGTATCACAGAGCGCGGGCCAAAACTCTCTCTGAGACGCACTGTTGAATGAATAACACATTAGGTCGGGCGTTGTCCGCGGGAAGTAACGCAAAATAAATGGAAAGTGAGAGTGATGTTAATTGAAGTCACGTGGGCGATGTGTGATAACGGGCAGAGGTAACAGACGCACCCGCGGCTCGGCCCGGCCCGGGCTCAAGGCCTCGTGCTGTGTGTACACTTCTCCTCACCCCGCGCCCCCGCGCCCCCG